CACTGCAAGAACTTCAAGCCTAATAGTACATGGCAAGAACAAAGAAGGAACTATGGTTATTGGAAACAATTAGAACATACTTTTGCAATTTCACTAACTGATTGAAGCTACAAATTCAACCATCACGGTATCTTTGACTACGTTGCAAACCGTTGAAAATGAATAAAAGATAAGTTAATGGTCTCCCTTCTCAAAAAATTGAACGCAGGTTCTGCGAACACGCGCAGTAGTTACAGCAATGCTTGGCGACAATCGGGAAAGTTATGCGGTTTATATTTCCCATCTGAGAGACCTTCCAGAAACTTTTTTAGTGCTCTTAAAGGCTGAGCAATTTTTTTCAGTAAAATGTCTTAGTGGGTTCTTCAGAGTTTGTATTAGACCTCATTGGCCCAACTGCGAAAACCATCTACTGTAATATATATTAGGTCATTCGGAAATTTTTTTCGTTTCCGCACCTTCATATTCAAACGAACACAACTTTTTCCAGGTTCAACCCTTTTCCATCAAATAAATTGCATTGCGTTCAGCAAATTTCTGGTAACACTTTTGTAGTCCTCCTGTACTTTTTTCTTACGAAATAATCTCAGGGGATTCAATAAAGCCTAAAAAGGCGTTTTTAACTAGCTAATCTTTAGTACGTCCTATTATTTTTCAGTAGGCATCGAGAAATCAGAAAATTTGGTGATTGCTAGAGGAAGGTCTAAAGAGTTTGAAAAATGAACAGGAACCTCGACGCGCAGTCAGCCCCTTTTGTGAGAGCCACTTTTCTTTATGTGGTTTGACGGAGTCATGGGCGTGGATGGCATCTCTCATAGCTTAGACGTGTAAGTCGCTCAGTTTTGGAATTTTAAAAACGGTCTTCAAAGGGGTATCAAACTACTCCGCTCTTAAATTACAATCGCATCTTAGCAAGTTTATAGCGTACAAGACCAACAGGATTACATTAATTTGAGTACATCAACCTTTTGGAATGACTGATTGTTTTGGCCATGCTTTCAATGCTTATTCCAAACCAGTGCGTCACCTCCGCTTCGCAGAGGATCGCACTGGCTCTACTATCTACATGCCTTCCTCGTAGTTCCACAATAATGGCCTTGAAACTTACCTCGCGATGCCGACCATCACGAATAAATTGTAAACAACTACTCATTCTGACAGCTTTTCATGTCAGATCGGTGATTTTGAGCGAAAAAAAGTATTCTCCCAAAGATTAAAAGCGATTTTGAATCAGTTACTGGGGTTATAATGGTTTGATAGTCGCCATAAAGATGATGACAACCGTGAGTTACATTTCTGCGCAGAAATTTTCTCACATTCCCAAGTAAAACCTTGACAAATTGATCATCTACGCAATTATTCCTTTTTGGCGCCAATCTTGCGTAAAGTAGACTTTTTGCTCACTTTTCGGGCTGGAGTCTATGGTTTGCGAATTTACTTGCTAAACGAAACCGTGACTTTGGAAAAAGTCAAATTACAGGCCCACTTCGCGAAATGTCGCGTGGATCCGTTTGGCGCACAATTTCACAGGTTCCAATTATCGGATCGGCTTGTGACTTTGCATATCTCACCTAATTGCTGATAGGGTGCTACAACCAAGATTCTAGCTCAATAACTTTGCTAGAACTCGCTCTACGAATTTTGTGACAGACAGAGATTCACACACACACACACACACACACACACACACACACACACACACACACACACACACACACACACACACACACACACACACACACACACACACACACACACACACACACACACACACACACACACACACACACACACACACACACACACACACACACACATACACACACACACACACACACACACACACACACACACACACACACACACAAGCGTAAACAACCCTTAGCCCGTTGTTATAATTCCAAATGATTTACCACAATGTCGCTTCTTGTAACCGCACTTGGCCAATTCTTTGCTGTAATCAATAACCGAGGCCAAGAAAGGATTGCTCCATCAAGTTATGAGCAACGAAAAGAGTCAACGCGCCCTCAATCTGCGAGTGCGACAGTTTGTGCGTAAATGTCACTGAAATTTTTCGGTATTGCGGCTTTAGCGAAGGTGGCTTCTAATAGGGTTATATGACACTTCAGGGCCTGCTGATAATTTTACGCAACCATATTTGCGATTTTCTCTGAAGGACCCTTTGAGAGGCTCGTTTATGTGGCAGGAATACCTTCCAGGACACTGCAAAATATTAGCTTTCACTTCTCTATATCTGAACTTTTTGAAGTAAACTTGAAGCTACCTCAAGAAAGACGTGGTCTTGGCAAATGCATTGCGCACAATGATGGTTTCCTCAACGGTCTTACACTCACGTTTGAACCTAAGGAATGCAATCATTCGAGAATCTCGTTTTCGTATGTCGAATTTAGAGACGCGTAAACTTTCCTACAAAGCGTTTTCTGCAACTTGGGTGGGATCCTCAGAAACTAGAAAACTTTCTCTATAGATCCATAGGCAGCAACCCCTATCAGCCTTCTGGCACCCTCTTAAAATATGGTACCAACATCAAGGGCGCAAAAAGCGAAAAAACTTTCCGAATGACCTAATACATCCATTCTATCTACATCAGCATCAAAATAATACCTATCTCAGAAAAAAACGCAGTTCCACAATCACAATAATTTGTTTGGAACGATTTGGTCGCTGTTCGACAGTCGACCAATTTTATTACACGACTAGCTGATCTGCCCGGTCTAGCCCGGGAAATCACTGATCGGGAATGAAGATAAGGTATTCGGTGGCATTGTAGAAACTGTGTAAAGAACAAAAACAAAATGTGAACACTTATTAGTCGGTAGCATATCTCTCTTTCTACAAATCATGTTCAACACGCAAAACCTAAGCAAGCAGCGCGAGTTAATTGATAGCAGCGCTCATTGTTATCATGAGGATCATTTTTTGTGACACTTTGCCATTAACCGGCTACTTCATCTTCATTCACTGCTTGCCGTCAATTTTTGTGGAGTCGGCAGTACTTTGCACTCGCGCACTTTCCTGGTCCCAGGGATCAACTATAGCGAATGTGAGTTGTCGCTTGTCTTGACATTATTTCTGGTATTGACAAATAATTTGTGCGCAATCTCATGAAAAATTTTGACCCCTCATTGTTTAAATTGAGCATGTAACGAAGAAAGCTTTGATTATAAGCGTAAATTGAGCACCTTCCGTACAAAACACTCGCTACAAAGCACTCATGGTCTCTTGCAAGCTAAGGTTTCCGCAACATAAAATACATTTAGTTCATCCATTTAAATGACAATTGAGACTCACATCAAGAACACTTTTCACTGCACTTCGTCAACAGAAGTTCACAATGAGACATGCCAGCCTTGTTTACATACCCCTGTTTTGATAGCAAATGATAAGAATCATTTTTATTGCAAAGTGCTGCAAATCAATAAATCGATAGAAGGACCCAACTAATCGCTACAAAAAGTAGCCTATCATCTGCGCAAGGCTCGAAAACATATGTGTGCAAAGTTTCAGCTTAATCGGTTGAGCGGCGCGCGTTTCTATAACGCACATACCCTCCAAACTGACAATTTTTGAGTTTTATCATGACTTATAATAAGCGGCTTAATCTGAAGTTGTGTGGAGATTGTCCGTTACGAAATTACAGTGAGGAATGATTTACGATACTAAACATCATGTGAGGTTAAGATAGCGAGTATGGTTCATTTTTAATTACAGCTCACGTTGCAATAAACCGAACAATGATTTGAGAGACAAGCTCTCAGAAAGTGAGTTTACCACGGTTCACGATGCCAGTGCGAACCTCTGCGAAGCAGAGGTGAAGCACTGGTATATATATAGATAGATAACTTTTGCAACCCTGACAAGCTCATCTTCGCTTTTTGCAGTTAAATTGTTTCCCATTTTCAAGTGAGAAATGCAGATCTCATCAACCGCAGTGTCACTTGCATCAGCATCTCCACTCCCGCACTGGACCTGCGTCTCTTCCGCGAACATGCTTCTTAATCACTCCAATCAATTGAGGCTCCGCCTTTCCCACGCTCGCTATGGGCAAGTGATCGAAGAGCGTGTTCGCGAAAGAGGCGCAGAGTTCAGCACGGGAGTGGAGATGCTGATGCAAGCGACACTGTGATTGATAAGCCCTGTATATCTGCTTCCAAGTTGTGGCAGAACGACTATAAGCTACAGAAGAAAGAAGAACGCGTTGAGCTGTAATTAGGGCTCGGCGGTCATTGGTTTCGAGTATTTTCTAAAACAAAATCCTCCACAATTTCGCAGATTTCTTGAAGTTCCCGCGAAATATCTGTCGATGCGTTATTTATGCTTTTTTTGGCTAAAAAGGAGATCTACTGTTCTGACTCGCTCTTTTACCATATGATGGATTTTTAGGCGCTAATCGTCCAAATTAAAATTGTCCAAAACTCGTGTGAAATTCCCGATATTTATGCACCGAACCAACCTAGTAGGATTGGTGTTGGTTTGGAAATTAACAGATTCGGAAACGGGCATTCACACAGTAAGTTTTTGAAACATTTTACATAATATGACTTGCAGTAATATTGATACGTATAGCCCAAAATTGGTGTTATGTGATTGTTTGTGCGCTTACGCAAGCCATTGGTTCGTTTGGGTCTTGCATATGATTCGCGCGCCTGCGAAAGAGTACGTTCAAAGCGCAAAAACTTACATGTTTGCCAGTTTCTACGTTTTGCACGGACCTTGCAAAAACGATGTGTCCTTTGCTTTTCATCCACAAAACTAAATCCATTTTGACCCCAGAACATATAATATGTGCCGATTCCTAGATGCAACGATCGAAACGTCCGTTTGCTACGTTTGTATCCGCTTAGTGAATCAAACCATCCGCCTTCGTTAGGAACTACACTGTACTTTGACTTACTCCGTGTCAGTAATTGTTTTTTTTTACTATGGAGCTAAACATGTGTGAAAGAAATTGCAGTTCGAGTCGGTTTCATTGTTCATGTGAAGGCGCAGTAGCTCAACATCATGGCGCAAGCATCGTTTCACCCTCTCGATCAAGATCTACAAAGACTGAGAAGACGTGGCAGAACGACAAGAAGACATCGCAGAAGGAGCAAAAACAGGACTGAAGAGAGCAGGTAATGAGCATTGATTTCTTGTTCCTCTTTTTAGGTTATGATGCAGTAAAATTGGATTACCATAAACTGTCACTCTATCCGCTATCTTTCTTTGCGAAAATGGAACATTCTGACAGTGATTCAGTCCCTTAAGGCACGCGCCATACTTGATTTGCTTCATCCACTTGATCCACTTTAATCACTTCTTTACTGGTCAGTATACCAATTTGAACAGTAGCGAAGGGGATGAAGTGGATCAAGTGGATGAAGCGGATCAAGTATGGCGCGTACCTAAGTAAGAGCGTGGTGCAAATTCTGACGCGCGGACGAAATTATTTATGTGCTCTCCTCCTCCCCATTCGGCTTCCTTCTACCGCACACTCCGGCAGCTTTAGTAGCCTTGAGAGCAAATACATATGCTTACGAAGCCTCGCTTCAAAGTACTGCATATTACTCGCTGCAAAGTAAAAATGAGCTCTACTATGCTTTGCTTGACCGCGAGAGTCGGTGAGTGCGGCCATTGCACATGCAGGATGCAACAAGGCCTCAAAACAAGTCAAACCCGCATTTTTCAGAATCTTTTTGGGTAAATGAAAGCTGACAGCTGACATGAGGAAATCCTATATAGATAGGAGGACCACTAAGAAAGCTCAACGCGCGTGCAATGACCTCGAACTTACCGATCGTGCAGAGCCCTATACTAATGGTCGAGCCGCAGAAACGCTGCAAATGCGAATGAGATTTTATTACTCTTTGGAGCGCATAAGGACGAGCTTTCGCAAATTTTTTATTTTTCTCCGTTCCAACTCAACGGGATCGGAAGTCGCTTTGCGGATTATTGGTAGACTAACATGCGCACCACTTAGCATCAGACAGGTTCATCAACAGGAACGCAAAATAGATGATTTCTGAACTGGCTTTATAATTATGTCCAGCACTGTATCAGGCCGTCCAGAAAATAATGTCGCTTTTTATTTTCTGGCTAGACACCAACCAGGCGAGCCTTCAGAACGCAGAAGGAGTAGTGTTCGGTAGAGTAGAGCAGAGCACTCTACAAATTTGTTTTGGTGCTTTCGTGTAAGGATGTTCTGCGTGATGTATCAAAATCTAAAAAGTTCTGAATGCTTGAAAAATTGAAAAATTGCAACTTCGTCCAAAAACTTTCTACGGACTTTCTACCCGCACACATCTGTACTATCGACATCGACAGTTTTTTTTTCGACATTTTTAATAGAAAAACTCATAAGAAAGTGAGCAAAATTCGATTTTTTCTCGAACAGTAGTGCTCGAAAAAGTCCAAAAAATTGCAGTTATATTTACGAAGGCTTGTGGCATAGTACCACTCACATCAAAACAGCCCAGCATTGCTTTGAGAAAAACGCGGAAATATTCGATTTTTCAGATTCTAGTTGACGAAAAAATACAGCAACTGCACATATGTATATCAGGTCGTCCCGAAAGTTTTGTCCGTTTTTTTCATCGCTCACTAAAACTCACAGAACAACAATCCATGGACGACTTGGGTATCGACTCAAATTTTTAACCTTTTTCTTGTAGCTATGTTTGCTCTCTGATCTACCCTGTCTTTGCAATGTTATCACCATGGCGTTTTGAGCATTCCATCAGTAACGCCAAATTTTCCTGAATTTTAAAAAATTTTTACCTTGATGTTTTCAAAAAGCACTGATAACCGTTATGTAAAGCAAACCTTTGGCTACATTGTGTCTAATCAAGATTACATGGGCCATGTTTACCAAGTCCGTTATAATTATTTGTTTGACAAAAACCGCGGCTTTTTGATTACGTCTACCACGCAAAAGTGACCGCAAATTCCAAAAAGCTGCTTTTTGGCAGCAAATTAAACTTGGTTATGTTGCATAAATGATGTTTAATAAGAATCATGTTTCAATTCGCAGAAACACAGAAAGCTTCCATGTATTTGCTACATATTTGCTACGTGTTTCACGAGTTTGCCAAAAATCGAGACCTCCGAAGAAATAAGTTTTTGAAGCTAAAATCAGCAGATTAGGAGAATCTAAAAATATTACCTTGTAGTCCGAAAATTGCTCTATTTGATCCACACTTAAACCTTTCCAAAAATTCGGAATGAAATTTTTGAAAACTAGCCTCATCTTGAGCAGATAGAATCGAAGGGTGGGGAACTCTGGCAATCACCAAAAAAACACACAAGACAGTGGTTCGAATATATATCCTTAAGAAAGAGATGGAAAAGCTGCATCGAATGCATGTTGAAACTCTTTCATTCGTTCATTGCTTGTGGTTCCATAGCGATTTGAGAAAATGGACGGAACTTTCGGGACAACCTAATACAGGGTGTCCCAAAAAAATGTGCCCACTGTTTGATTGGTAATAACTCTCTTTTAGCCTTAGGTACCGTTTTGTAGAGCTAGCTTCAACTTAATTTACAGTATAGAAAGAATTAATCATCTATCTTTCTTACTATAGTATTATGGTAGAAATCTTAAAAGCAGCGTCCAGGCAGATCCGAGCTCGACGACCACGCCCACTTCCCTCGGACGGCCAACCCCTTATGAAAGAAATCTCCTCAGCCTTAACGTGTTTTCACATGACCAACACAGTCAAACTCACAGCGTTTACCTGTTAATACTTGCTTTCGACAAGGATAACATCAGAAGCACTTGTCCGGGTTTTCCCAAAATAGCCCCAAAAGGTGGTTTTCTGAGAAATTTACGCTTTTTGAATTCCATATTCGGAATAAGCGCCATGAAAAGGCCTGGATAACATAAATGTATAGAATTCGAGAATCTGCCTGGACGCTCCCTTTGAAGATGGTTTTAAGCCATGCAAAACCACATTTTGCCTCAGATAAAGAAAACAGCCTGAAAACTCTTACACTGAGATAATTGCTAATTCTAAACATGAAGTTCGCAACTTATAATAATGCTTCGTTAAAAAGTTTTACGAGATAATCAGGAGCGGCCCTTTTTCCAATGTTCCTTAAATGTGGGGTTACACCGTTTAGAAGGCTTCGCAACTTTGTAAGTAGTTGAGTATTGAACTCAGCGTCAACTCAGCGAAATCCTATTACACAAATTTTCGCATTTTTTTTGAGAATTTTTGTAACGGCAGCTTTTTTCACCATCATATGCTTATACTACAATAAGGAAGAGAGATGGGTAAATCCTTCTATACTGTAAATCTAAGTTTATTTATTTATTTATTTATTTAATACGCACAAGGCGCGCCCATACAACAGAAGAACGAAGCATCACACCAAACAACCAACAACAAAAAAATATAACAAAAAGGCAAACTCCCCACTGAATCAGTTCAAGTCCAGTCCGCAAAATCTTTCTGGGAATGGAAAGGGAGTGAGCTTGTTTAGACATATATGAAGTCATCACAGGTATAGAGGTTCAATGGAGTCTGTCTCATGCCCCCTGCTCTTAGCAAAAAATGCTCTTACTCAACATAAGCAATTGTATATGTTGGAAGCAGGTGTATTGGTAGTAATATTGATAAAACCCGCCCAACCAAAACTCTGGGGAGAGAACAGAACTCCGGTAGAAGTTGCACAATGCAAAAGTCTCAAGCCCAAACAAGCTAGCCCAAGCATAACTGAGGTGATAAGACGGAACCAGACCCAAACTAACGCGTGAGGCATGAAAGTGTTAGAAGAAAACCAAACAGAGAACGGCAATAATTTGAACCAAGGTCCAATGAAGTGGTAGAGTGTGATCTAACATAAACTACAGTCCAACAAAGCATTCATTCCGCATCCCTCGACCACAATCAGCCCAGAGTAAGGATCAGCATGAGACAGGTAGAGTCGCGTGCCATGAAACCGCATACGAAAAAGATAGTGAACCGCATGGACAAGAGCGAGAATCTAAAAAGAAGACTATTGAGAGATGAAAAATAAAATAGGAGAAAAAGAAGGAAAAAGAAGTGCAAAGAAGATCAAGCCTCAGAACCAAACCATGGGAGAACCATAACAACCATAAGCCCTAAAGACCACTACCCTAAAAGAATCTGAACACAGATATTAGAAACGCAACGCAATCAAGAAGAAGTATCACTGCTCAAAAGTTGAGACAAATCAGCTTTTCTTAATTTTTTCTTGAAGGCTTTACCGCCACGCACTGACATAATATCAACGGGTAAGCGCTGAAGCCAATCTTGCACAGCGGAAGAACAGGTAGTTGAATATTCCAGACTGATGTTGCTTGATAGGTTTATAGTGCAGATTGAAACCACCTAGCCTCGTACCAGCAGGTTTGAAGATCCAAAATTTGCTTGCTTTTATTTATTTCCATGCGAAGAATACGAAAACAAAAGACGAGGTCGGATATCATGCGTCTAATTCTGAGAGGAGTCAAGCTCAATTTATTAGAGCGTAGGTGACAGTCTGGAATATCAACTAGTGTTCCACCACTTGCACGACGAAAGACCAGGCGGGTAAAAGTGTGCTGAACTCTTTCAATCTTCATTATATCTTTTTTTCGGGAAGGATTCCAAACTTGCGAACAGTATTCAAGATGTGGAACAACATAAGCTTTGTATGAACGGGACAGTATTATAGGATTACGAGTTTGTATATTGCGAAAGATTGTAAATAAATAAGTTGTAAGTTGAAGCTAACTCTACAAAATGGTTCCTAAAGCTTCTCGAAATACTTCATTATTACAGTAGAGTTATTAACAATCAAACAGTTGGCACATTTTTTGGGACACCCTGTATATTCAATATCTGATGTCGAAAATGCAGATGTGTGCGAGTAGAAGGCTCGTAAAAAGTATTAAACGGAACTTCGATTTTTTTCGATCTTGTAGGCATTTAGAACTCAAATTTCGCTATTCATCTTCACTAAAAAATCTTGATTAAAAAGCATCGTTACAGGCCTGTAGAGCTTACTTTGATTCATCGAACAGTACGGCTGCTAATTTCTTCAGTTGCTTGATAATTTAATGAACTGTTTTAAAAGGGATCAAACTAAACCGACTTTACGCTTCCACGCAACTGCCGCCAACTTCTGATATAAGGTGAGCACAGGATCATTGAGCGCTCAGAAGCCAATTTTATATCAAGAGTAAGCTGAAGAATCCCATCACTACGATCACATAAAAACAGGCGCGGTACATTCTAATAGCACATCCAAAAACGCGTACGGTTAGTTTTGAGGGTGCAAGATTATTGAGATTTGTTTTCAGAAATGAAACACATTTCTTTTTATTTTGTTAATGGTTTAGAGCTTCATCTCTTGTTACCTACTAGTTAGTTTTTGTTTTTCCTTGAGGTTGAAGACTGGTTGGCCTCGTGCGCTGTTTGAACTTTATTTTTCTAATTTTTCCTGTTTGATGCATCTCGTATACTTATGAATAAACTAGTTGGCTTACCCGTCTCGGCCCGGCCCTGTTACAACTTATGGTGAAGGTCTTTTCCCTATTCCTGTGCAACCTTTCTCGTTCCCACTTCTACATGCCAATTCCCTATTCCCGCTGCTTTGGTAATCAGCACTCGATTACTCCCCTGTGCCAACTCCCAGCACCGTAGATTAAACTTCATAAAAACGATAACATCGATAAAAGTAAGATAATTCTAAAAACTGATGGCGTTTTTTCCGCCCCGCCCCGAAGTGTATGTGTGCCAGTTTTGGTCCGGATGGGTTCAGAAATAAAAATTTTTATTCGGAACATCATACAGACAGACACAGACACAGACACACACACACACACATACAAGCAGACATTCAGCTTTATATATGATATGAATAATAGCAAAAATTAACAAACAATGCGCGAATACTTCTAGCGACTTTGTATATAGATGCAAGTTTTGATAAACAAACTTTTCAGGGAAGAAGATGCTGGAATCAAGTGAGTATTCAACATTTAAAGTAAGCGTCCTCGTGAATACAAGTGGGTTACGCTATTTTAGTGATCTAGCCTTACAACTACAAGATTCACATTATCTTTCGCAAGCGGCAAGACGTGCTCAGGTATGTCAAAAACATTTAAATTTTGGTGAGGATGTAACGAGGTGACCAAAGCTTTAGGTGAAAGTTTTTGTAGAGCACACCTTAAGCACTGGTGTGGTTGGCCTGATTGCCGAGTTCAAAGCAATGAAACGTGGTAATGACTTCAGTCGAATGAGAGAGTTCGTAGCCCAGATTCCTCAAGGAAGGAACAGATATAAGGTCTGCGTCTAAGCAAGACTCAAGGAGTTAAACTTGATTATGTGCCCTTGATCAGGATGTGGGATGTCTTGACTTTCAACGAGTAATGCTTCATCTTGGTCCGGTTTCATACATTCACGCTAACTATGTATCAACACCTGTAAATTCCAAGCGATTTATTTGCACTCAAGTATGATGAGGCACAAATGTCGGAGATATTTTGCATTTAATATATTCAGGCACCTTTGCCTAATACATGTGCTGATTTTTGGTATATGGTTGTACAAGAGAAATCTATCGCTATAATAATGCTGTGCAACTTTGTTGAACAGGTCCGTAGCACGCGCTTATAAGCATCGAATGACAGGCTCGTAAAATTAAGGGATCAAGGAAATCTGCTGATTATGTGCCGCTGTCATTTGACAACAAAACTTATAATTTTGATGGAGTTATAGTGACACTCAAAAAGCAAGAATATGTGAGTCTGCGTGCGGCATGACTTGTGGAGAATTGCGCCAGAACGATTTCTATGAAAACGGGCTGATATTTTTCATTGCTTGACAGTTGTAGCCTAAGTGTCGCATTTACTCTGTAAAATGTTAATTAGCACATTGACGACAGCGCCGCGCAATTGCGCGGCGGCCTTACAGTAGTATCTATCCAATCCTTTTTAAGGCCCGTATGCACGTACATCCCCGCGGGGAGGGGAAGGGATCTGAGAGGGGAAGCGTCATATCTCGCTGGTCTACATATCTTTCTCCTTCTTTCTCTAACTTGCTTTTGAAGTTTCTCATACACTGATACCTGCGCATAACGGATGCCAGGTTACTGCCATACAAGATTAGATATTCAGTATTTCTTCTGATCCCCTGGGGATCCCCTGGAGATCACCTCACATTTTCAAAGTCATTTATCTTCCTGAAAATCAGTGAAAATTCTCCAAAATTGTACTGAGGATATACTACGCGCTGCTAAACATGTTTATGGCAGAAACGAGTGAAATCTCAGATATCAAAATCTTTAATGAACCGCTGCTCGCGAGCCAGGGATCATCAAAAAAAAATCAAAATCTTCAGATTCTATTTCTTCTGTCGAAAACATGTTCAGCAGCATCGTAGTATATCTTCCGTACAGTTTTGCAGCGTTTTCATTCAGTTTTCAGGGAGATAAATGACTTTGAAAATGTGAGGTGATCCCTTGGGGATCCCCAGGGGATCAGAAGAAATACTGAATATCTAATTTTGTATGGAAGTAACCTGGCATCCGTTATGCGCAGGCATCAGTGTATGAGAACCTTTAAAGCAAGATAGAAAAAGAAGGAGAAAGATATGTAGACTAGCGAGATATGACGCTTCCCCTCTCAGATCCCTTCCCCTCCCCGCGGGGATGTACGTGCATACGGGCCTTAGTTGTTATATAATCAACATAGGATCAGATGTACTTCATATATTAGCCCCGTTCCTTTCGGCGAACTCCGCCCACTTCCATGCTTCTCACAAGAATCCTTTTTGTTCATAAAAAGCTTTGATGAGGCCTAGATGAACGCAAAGACCTCAAGCAACCTTTAGCCAGGCTCCGCCTACCGTCAGGCAAACCCCGCCCATTTTCAAAGATGAATTTGCATGAATTCCTATTGAGCATTTCCGACATTTTTGGCCGAGTGGGCGGAGCTTGCCACATGGGGCGGAGCTTGCACATATTATATTTTGTGCGTGAATGCATGCATACATACATGCGGCCGAGCGTAGGGATGCACGGAAGCGTCTCGTCCAAGAGACCTCAAAAAAGGCTCGTCGTTAACGTGTTAATCTAAGTGCAAGAATCGAAAAAGATTACAAACTTAATCGAGTAGTTGTTGCCAAAGTACATTTTCAGTTCCAATTTCCAATAGAAACGCGCGTACACATACGCGTAAGTTTTTTGGAGGTGAGAGTTCCCGGTTTGTCACCACACTACTGTATTCACTACCATTGGCAAGATTGGCCCGATCGAGGTGTACCAGATGCGGATTTGGCCTCAATATATCTTCTGACAAAAATTCAAACCACAACGTATGACACGAAGTGTGTGTGTGAGTTTTCTATTGTGAAGAAGTTTGTCTTTTAAGAGCTCCAATCATCATTCATTGTTCGGCTGGAGTAGGAAGGACGGGTTCGATAGTGCTTCTTCAAAATTCTTTAGAATTGCTGCAATCCCAGCAACCGCTTAGAGATATAGCAAGTGACTTGCTTGCTTTGCGCAAACAGAGAAACAATTCGGTCCAGGTAAAACAGTTCAACATTTTTTTGCAAAATTTTACGGCCAAGTTTCAGACACAGCATCAATATCTCTACGTTCACCAAGTGCTCCTAAACTATTTGCAGAAAATGAAATACTTGGACGATAGCATTAATCCGTATCTTGAGAAATTCACAGCAGATTACGAAGCTGCAACAAAAGGCTTTTGACGACATTGTGACTACCATCAATCATCTCATTGATAATCGTATAGAATGTTATCCCAACAGTAAACGCCCAAGCATATGTTTGCGCTACAGGTATTAATGGTGGTGGTGTTCAGTGATACTAGTGCGGGACTACCCCTGCAGAATAAAAGTTCATTATCGCAGCTCTTGTAAACAAATACACTGTCAACCTCACAACGAGCAAACCAGCAATTCTGAACCTAATCGCCTCTGTATCCCATGGTATGCTGATCATAGCGATGTGGTGCTTCGTCAGGCAAACATCAAAAGTAAAATTAAAGCAGTGAAACGTTCAAAGACAGCGTCCAGGCAAATCTGGATCTATGGGAAATTTATGTGGAATGTAATTTTGGGGCCATAACTAAGGCACTGCCCAAGCGGCAGCGCAGTTGACTCACTAACAGCTGGGATATAAACCTCAAAACTGGACCCCAGGATCGTATCTCGCATGGATTCATGGCTCAACCCATCAGTTTCGCGCGAGGAACCCCGCGAAACTGATGGTTGCGCAATGAATCCTTGCGAAATGCGATCTTGTGGTCCAGTTTTAAGGGGAATATCTCAGCCGTTAGAGCACTACTTGAGCTGCCGGTTGGGCAGTGGCTTAGCCAGGGCCCCAAATTACTATACGTGAGATCCCCACATACCCAGATTTGTCCGGACGCTGCCTTCAAAGTCGGGAGACAAACAAGTAAAGAAATCTTCTGCAAGAGAAACACGCTATAATCAATTCATTATAGTGATGGATTCCAGTTAATAGCCGCTGGTGGTAGCATGCAAAACATATGCAGAACATAAATTTTTTGTATATCGACCAAGCTTTCAATTTTCACATCAAGGTCACTCACACACACAACATCAAAACTCTATTTCATTGCATTAAATTGAAAGTGTGGTTCCCCTTAATCAAAACGATTACGGCAAATTGATAAAAATAGCAGAAAATGTGCAAGATAGAGGCAATAAAATGAGTAAAACGTAAAAGAGTAAAACGCTAATTAAATGAGTTGTAACACAAAAATCCTCGTGAAATCCTAAGGCTTGATAATAAAAAAAGCACCTTGTTTGCACTCCAAAGCGAGTTACAAAAAAAGAAAATTTTTCAAAAAAAAAAGTCTCAGCATGTTGCCGATCACCCTGATCTGTTTTTGAGTATGCATCAGCTTGCATTAAAGGCAGTAAACACCAAACTTGGGGTCTCGAAATTTGCAAATTATAAATCTTTCCGACCTTCTATAAGCCTGTACGGGCTCAAAGCCGCGCAAAAAACATTGCGATCAGTGCGAAGGTTGGTAGAAGCAATACGAACGACCGTTACCTTTCTCGTTCTTTGGACCATCGCGGAAGTCCTCTGATGGAATCATTAAACTAAATAGGGTACGCAGATCTGGCTTCGTTTCAAACATTAAACCAACGTCTTGTTACAAACGGCTGGATAGACTTTATTACCCTTTCCTCGTTAGAAAGAAGTCAAGGAACTTTGAAGCATTTCAATGATTTTTCTTCTCACTTAACACATTAAAGGCAGCGTACACCCAAAATTTGAGTTGCCGAATTTCCAAGATCTTTCTACACCGTGTATATACTGGGCCCAGAAGAAGACCAACTGCGTTGGTCCGGTCTTCCAATGTTGCTTCTGAGCGGAGAAAACCCCCCTCAATTTTCTTCCATGCCGCCCCTTTTCTTTCGCTCCGCCTCCTCCAGACGAATCCATAACAGCGTAAGCTGCAATTGCAGTTGCAGTTGCTGTTGCAACATCTGTTGCATTTGTTTTGGGTGTACGCTGCCTTTAACGACCGCTTGACACACATGGTGTGTCAAGGCTTGACACACCATGACTTTCATTGAAATGGCTACTAAAATGTGTCAAACCATCTCCGGGAGTTTTCTGTCATGCTAGATTTAGATGCAACCTCCACTGTTTTTGCCATCATTTTCCAGCGCTACTGTAGGTGTACTGTAGATGGAATTGTGTGCGATTTTATTTGAAAATTATTGGCTTTCCGAGAAAGGCTTCGGTCGTCAGTGTGTTAAGCATCGATATCGCTGTAATCCCATTTTCACTTTTCACTCGCGAGATTCGCTTTGCTTCAAAAGAGTTATGGATTTTCAAGAACTCCTTTTCAAGGACTTGTCCTCTTTGTCTGTATTAACACCAGGAAACAATGTTCTGCCACCTCTTTGCTCTCTGTCTTCAACAGTTGCTAAACCATGAGTGTTTAGAGTTAGTGTATCATAGAGTTGCTTACTCAATAATTTAAAATCATCTTTTGAACGGCTGACATAAAACATTTTTGCCCTGATTTTGCGACTGTCTCTTATACTCGTTAGCATCAATTCAAGAAAATTTTCAGCCGCTTTTCTTAAAACACTCTTACTATTTCTTTCTTCTCCCCTTCCTACCCAGACAATCGCAAAATTCTTCGAGAACCGAAGGTCTAAAACTTCCGAGAGACACTCCTATTGGAGCTGCCAAGTAGGGCGCGGCCAGGTAGGATGGGCCCATCCACACAGCCCGATAGAACGGCCCCTCCAGAAGCTTTAAAAGTTCAATTTTCTCCGGAAGTATTTTGCGATTGTCTGAGTACTATGTCCGGCTGTACTGTGGCTGGCGGGCTGTTGTTGTTTGCGATTCTGTAACCTATCGTTAATATTTGAGCCCACTGCAATGCTCAGCATTCAGTCCTTCGCCTAAGAAAGCTCGTAACCACAATCATTTGAAATTTACTCCAGTAAAAATTTTATCAAATTTTGTACATGTATATACAATCACTTTAACTCAACAATAAACTGAAGCACCTGTTTAGACCAATTCCATTTGTGCCATCACACACACAATTTCTTCGTGTCTAGTGTTCCCTTTGTTCCAGTTGTACATTCGGATTTCGAACTCATATGGCCTCTGCAATCGCAAAAAATGGCTTATTAATGGGGTATGATCAGCTTACATGTGCAGCCATAATATTGATAATGGCAGAAAACTGGGTGAGATCCAGTGGAAGATCTAGTGTAAGCGGTCCTTGCGTAAGCGGGCAGTTATGGGCGTAGTCACATCCGTCAATGTTGTTCCTAAATAAAAATTTGCTTATGAATTACGAGTACCCTTTAATTCTACTTGCTTGGCGGCTGAAAGGCAGGGCTTCGCGACCTGATTACGCCTATATAATGATCAGAGAGCATGCGCGCGGGAGAGACGCAGACTGCGTCGCGGGCGCGAGTGGCCTTAGGTCACGCCCCGCCTTTCAGCCCGCCAGGCCAGTTGAATCAAGGATTATATAAGCGATGATTGGCTCCCGCGTGAAATTTTTTTATAAGAAAAACCAAAAGTGTTCAATTGCATAAAAAGGCTGAACCCTAGTATTGAAAAGAGACATTATTCCAAAAAATTTGCTCAGCACTTTGACCCTATTTGCACTACTGCAAATCATTCCCCCACCCCTTCTTCAAGCGCGCCATGAGCCGTTGCAAGTTTGGAAAAAAGTTTACAAAATAGCAAAGTAGCGAAGTGGAATTGGTCAAAAATGCCCTAAGCCGCAATATGAGACTTGGGCACTTCTTTCATTTGTTCAAATTGCCTTTGCTGAAATTCATGTTTCTCAGTTTTTAATGTAGCGATAATTTGGTAAGCCTGATATCTTCTTATATATAAAGCTGAATGTTTGTCTGTCTGTCCGTATGTCTGTCTGTCTGTCTGTATGTACGTATGTTCCGAATAGAAAATTTTATTTCTAAACCGAATCCGACCAAACTTTGCACACATACACTTCGGGGTCGAGCGGGGGTCATAGGCTACTTCTCGTCACCGATCGATATTGATTTTATCGATTTGTTTTGCAAAGTTTGAGCTGCGGGGCCGGGATTTGGCACAGGAATAATCGAGCAAGCTAATCACGAATACAATTTTAGTTCCTGTATGGATTATTTTGTAAATTTTGAGCTACGGGGCTGGGAATTCGCACAGGGGTAAGTGAACATGCTGGTAACTAACACAGCGGGAATAGGGAGTTGGAGTTGATATGTAGAAATAGGCAGAAAGGTTGTACAGGGATAGGGATGGGAGCTTTATTATAGTGTTTTCACAGGGCCGGGCCGAGTCTGGTAAAGCCACATTTCAAATTTGCAATATTCACTTTTTTGTTCCTCACAACTCAATTCGTTCCACTCAACAAAAACCTCTGACTGCAAAAATCGCTGAGTAAACCATATTTCAACTATTTCACCTTTTACTTACAATTAGTATAATTTCGTTGACTTACAATAATCCGAAAGTGGGTAATTGTGTCCACTCGCAATCAGTACTTGTAAGACCGGACTCGTATTCGAAGATTCGTACATTCACTTTGTTGTCATCAATCTGAAATTAGAAGGCATTATTATGGTCATGTATAAGTAAATTTTGGACATTTTCTTATTGAATTTATTTGAATAGGTTGCGCTATGAAGTATTAAAGATGAAGAACAGCTTGGGTTGAGCTGCTTACCTGAGGTCCATTGTTATACGCATGCAATCGAAGTACGAATGGTTGTCGAGGATCAATTGGATAAACATTATTTCCTTTCTCATCTGTCGTGTCAATGGAGCTTACGGTGAAAAATTCGCCTGAAACCACTTTCATTTTGACAATTTCAACCACTATACTAGGTCGTATCATAACAGTTTTATTGGAGTCTTATGGTTGATATTTTCGAGAATTAGGGCGCTTATGAGAGTGCAAATTTACGGCTATCATGAGTGAATGAACTTTCTTACCACCTAAAGGGCCAGACATACTCGACGCTATTTGGCAATACTCCAACTGTCACTCACTATAGGCACATTTCAAATGTACAAAAGATAAGCATTTTATCAATCCACATAAGTTATACACACCATGCATGTGCAGTTTGCTAGTGTTAGATCAGGAGACTTCTGGCAAGTTGCCAAATCGCATCGGAACTGAAATTGCATGAAGTATGCCCGACCCTTCAAGGAACACAGGATGGTTAGAAGCAAAGTCTTAAAATTTGCGCTTACCATTATTTTATAGTTACTATTATTTTCTTGAATTTAAATCAGAAAAAGAAATAGCAAGTGTATTTATGAATGACTATTTCGGCGAGTTTATGCATAGGGGAATAAGAAGTTTGCAAGGTTTTTTGGATTATTTTATTTTTGAAAAAAGCCACGAGTTTTTCCACATTTTTCAAGCTTTTGAATTTTTTTAGGTTTTAGCTTCAAATTGTAACTTTATGTAATTTAAAAGCCATCTTCTAGAGCTCGCTTTGCCCTATCGACTGGCTTCCCGAAAACTATTCAGATTGTAGGAAGACTCTCATTTTCAACGAAGATAGTCTGATACACACCTGCTGCACATAAATACGAATGTAGGGCTTTATCTGTCCCATTTGGGAACGGGCACGTGTCGCTATGACTGACTGGCATAGCTACTGCGGAGGCGATGAGTGTGAAATAGAGGAGGAGCATATCTGAAAAAAGTAGTATGGATGACTCAGCTGTTGACCATTCCAGAAAAATCACTGTCTTTTTTAACAAAGAAGGCATAAAGTTAAAGAAACTTATCTTTTATTGCAGTCGCTGCCCTTATAAATCAAGCTGATAGCGTAACTATGCGGTGATAGCCGGCTTATCATGCGCTATACTCCCGAAAGAACTAAAGTTTATAGCTTGCCTTCATCGCATATCACTCCACTTTTTGGTGACTAAACTTGTTGACAAGGATCATGGTTTATGGTGGCAAGAATCCCAAAATTTGCAATCAACCCGTTCAGAACGTTGAGTCACGCATGGTTATCAGGTTGATAAGAAAGTTTTTGGACATTTTCAGACTAAATCGACTTTGTCTTGGAATATAATGAATGTACATAATCGAAATTTTGCTATTGGACTCTTACGCGTCAAGCATGCATCTGTTTTCACCAACTATTATAATCATGATGCAGTAGTAGAATCAGAATTGGGCTGCTTTGTCTTTCGAAAAAATCTCAAATCCTCTCGACAGCCGAAGTGTGCTGTGTAGGCCTGCGCATAGTGGTCACGATCCGTCGCGCTGCGATTTCTGTGAAACGACAAATGTTACGCACTAATTGCATGCTATCGTGTATGCTACGGCGGTTGTGGTAGTCGTTCGGCGCGACTGATCGCAGACTTTTTTTGGCTAGGGTATAGTTCTGCAACGATAATCGCTGCGATTTCAGTAAATCTCAGTGATGTCGCTCGCGCTGCTGCACAGGCGACGATATCTGAGGTGCGAAGGAGATCTTGAAAACCTTTATGGACAAGCGCTGATGTTTCAATTGTTTTTATTTGAAAACGAAATGGAAATTGTTTGAAGTAGTTGTACAAAGACACTTCTAGCTTCGACGCCTTTTCTTAACCACGAACGTCGGATGACTTGTTTTTTGAAAGAAAGCGAAAGTCGAAAGTGTAAGCATTTTCGATGTTTCGACGGCTTTTTGAAGTGTTTTCTGGGTGATTTTTGTGTTAGATTCTTTGCTTTTCGCAAAATTCACGTTATCACTTTGCTTGTTTGCATATTCTTACGTTTCGCTATCCGTATAAATACAGGAAAATTCTCGTCTTTAGTGCACCAACACCAAACGGTTATGCTTGTGTTTTCGCTATCTTCGCAGTGGTGCTGTGCTTGACTTTTCAAAAGGCGTTTCTTTGGATTGTTACATCCTTGAAAAGAGGTCCTTCAAGATTCTGTGAACTGCCTTTGTAGAGTTTGATTAGGGCTTTACATGACATGAATTTGAGCACATGTTTCTCAGTATTTTTTCGTAACAGTGATGCAAAGTTGGCGCAGGTAATTTTTTGCGTTCCTGTACATCAAACTCCAATGACTTCACACATTTATCTGCTCATAACTTTTTCTAGAAAACGGCATCGCAGATATAAAATACAGATTTGGAAACAGCTCAACAAGACGCATTTTTTATTGTGCGGTTCATTCTAGTTTGCCACCTTAAGTTGGGATCGTCCTCTTGTGAGTTGAGGCATGTGCAAGGTTATAACGTTTATGGCAGTTGAATATCTGGGTCAGGTTGAAACCCATGTTTTTTGCCTCGCCTGCGTTTTCACAAGAATTATTGGTAACTCACTACCATAATCTTGTAGAGATTGCCTTGCTCTACTTAACAGTGTGCATGCCGCGTTTGAGGGTCACACCAAAAAAAACTTTGCTGAAATGACATGCCCTAGAGATCTTACCAACTTGATAGATAGCCAATCCTTCATGAATTACGCCTTTCTCAGTAAAAAGCGAAACTCGGGCCATATCACTACCAGGCCATTGAATAAGATTTGGCAAAGGTTGCGACACTTCAACCCATGTTTTTTGCCAATCTTTGCTATTCTGATCAAACTGTTTTCGTCTAAAATCTGCAAGCCGTTGCAATGCGCATGCAGTGCATATTTTGGGACTATTGCTTAAAATTTTGCGCGTAAATGTCTTTCGAACGCTATCTTACCCAGTTTATTGTGTAGTGTCCTTCTATAATTACAACAGTACGGTGCGAGCACAAAGATCTTAGATTTGAAACTTTTCATGAAGTGAGTAGAAGCGTGCGAGTATGCTTGCACTAGTTTACGATATTGCTGTTACTGCAAATTAGCAACACTTCGCAAAAAAAAGCAAAGCCTTCTAGAGTGATTCATTCATAGTTACTTATTTGGATCAATCATGAGGTCACCATGTTGAGAATCTTTGCAGTTTCAAGTTTTCAATTTTCCAGTGATTCGATAAACTAACAAATAAACTACAATTGTTTGAGTAAGCAAGGCTAGGCTAGTAAGCTTTGTTCACTAAGCGTGAACACCCTGGCAGTGCCGTACTATGTGAATGAAATTTCCCAAGTCGAGTTAGCATGACTTACGATGGTCGCATTTTCTACTTTTCTAAGTATTCTAACATTGCTCCAGCCTTTAGCTCCGCTCAGTCCGCGCTAGACTCGACCATGGTAGGGAGGTTTACAACCAGCACACAGTTGACAGACATTCCTTGGGAAACGAATTCCCTTTTTAGATCCAATATATTACGATTACTGGAGCACGTATTCAATTAGGAAACGCTTTCCTTCCTAAAGCCCGGAGCTTCGATGCCATTCCGAACCTTAGTAGAAGAGGAAAGAGTCGGAAAATGTGCTACTTCTACTGAGATTATGAAAAACAAATTGTGGAACTCGTGAAGAACCTCTATGGAACTTCTACCACCTTCAACGAGCCACTAATAGGTTTGCCAAGGTATAATCAATCACCAAGGTCAATATAAGGCCGCTGAATGCAAGCTAGCATTTATCGCTTGATACAGGAAAATTTTGTTATTACTAGTGAACCAGTAATCTAAAGGTGCTATTTGGAAAAGCGTTCGCTTCGGGACCCGCCGCGGTTTCCCGCTATCGGAAGATTTTTAAATTGAGCAACGATTCTTCATATATAAGATTTCGCTGAACCTTGTTTGAGCGCTTTTCTTTTTCCAAAGCAATCTTAGAATTTGGTATCCATGTGTCAAGCTTTGTTGAGGTCGATCAACGCAAAATCGATTTATGAGAAGTATGTTTATTCAGACTACATATAAATCCGTGATTTGAACCGTTGCGTGGAAGATATAAAACATATATCACAAAACAGTTACATCAACATTTCTATATTCAACAAATACCCGTAACAAACACGCCAATTTAAGAGCTCTACATGCTCAAAGCGTATCTGGGAGCAATTATATGTGCGAAGAGATAATGGTACATAAAAATGCATTGTGATCACTTATCGATCACTGCGGAAGTGCCCTACCGTAAAACCACCGTATATATTCTCAGACGAGCGCAAAAGAAGGCTCCGGGGCAAACTGAGCTTCTAAAACTTCCGGGGAACACTCCTATTGCGAGGTAGGGCGGAGCCCACACCAAAGCCACACGGACCAATAGCAGCGTTCGCCCCGGAAGTTCTAGAAGCTCAGTATGCCCCGGACATTCTTTGCGAATTATCTGAGTTGATGAGGGATAAATTGTGCTCATAATATACCCATATTAACAAACTTATTCTCAAACTACTCTACTGATTAGGAAAACATCCATCGTTCCTGTACAAACTATACAATACACACTATTCATCGGTATAACCAGAGGATAAACACTCTGGAGGAAACCTAATTCTCATCTCCGAATGCTTGATCCAATATTCCCATTGGCCCAACTCGGGTGGCCGAGATTTTCTGCTCCTCATTTTCCTTGACATTTTTCATAGCGCTTTTGATGAGTTGTTTTTGGAGGAGAAGGACGGAGCTTTGGTTGTTCATAAGGAACTCTTTCAGCGATAGCAGTCCATCTTGATAATCGATCGATGATCTTTCCGAAGCTTGATCATATCCTGAAAAAATGGATTTTGCGGTTTAAGCCTTATTGGAAGTTGGTTTTTAGCTCAAAAATGTATGTTCGGAGGCAGTATTTAGGTAAATCCGGTTTTTCAACCCCTTGTGTGGAAACCAGTTACGATTCCACCACTAAGCCATTGCCTAAGCAGCCATAAGATTTGTTCATGGTAAGGAAAATCAATTCTAAACTCCAGTCCAGGCCGTAGACTTCCGGGGCAATTAGCGCGTTCGTATACTGTAGCAGAATACGGTATGGGTAGGGGTTTTTAAGCAAAGTTCTCGACCACGGATGAATTTTCCGAGCTGCAGTTTGGTTTATATAACTTCGAGGCATTCCTTCTGAGGCTTTACACGAAAAATTTCAGGACTTATCCAAATTTGTCCAAAAACGGCCTTTGACAGAATTTTTTTTGAGTTCTTTAGGGGTTCGCAGTGACCTTTCAAGACTAGAAGTCAAGTCAGGAATTTCCCTGAGTACTTTTGTGACGCATAGAGTAAACTTAAGTAGTTTCCCAGTTGTCTTCAAACACAGCATGAATTTTACCCTTTTTTAAATTCCAACTTTTAATTGTACATACGCTCCTCCCTCCCCCCCCCCCCCCTCCCGTTTCACCTTCCTTTGAGTAGAGGACTATATGTCACTGAAAGTGGGAGGGTCCCGCACGGACAATGCAGCAGATACTCAGCCTGTACATGTATGGAAATGTGTATTTGTTGCAGATGTGCGGCCGGACCTCCCACTTTCGGCGACTTATAGTCCCCTACCTCCTTCCCTCTCCCCCTCCATGCCCTGTTTACCCGCGCAATCCTAGCGATCTCGAAAGGTAACAATGTTGCTCGATTACAATACATTCTCACGCACAGCTAATGAAGCATTCTATTTGCAACACATTCAGAGTTCAGTCAGTTCGTTACCTCGGTTACTCGAGGATTACCTCAGCTCTATGATTAGTTTGTAGCTCAACAATAATGAGTTGCTCGTTGAGCTGGACTCATTCTCTTTGTTGAAATGATGTGAATGTGACGCTGAATGTGGGAAATGAGCTGCGACGTAAATGAGCTAGTGATTGTTACAATATTGGTCCTAGTCTTTGTTCTCATAATCTATGGACGGAGAAGGGGGGGGGGGGAGAGAGGGTGGAAATTTGCAAGATTCGGTCGATAAGCTGACTTGCATGCATAGCTCATGTATGAGGGGAGCGACTATTTATGAAATTGCCTTTTTAACCATGACTGAACAGGTGGGAGTGGAAGTAATATTGGATGAACCAAACACAGTGCATTTTACGCAAAAAGACTGTTTTCTTGGCTAACTTGGCACTGTTATGAGCTATAATGTGCTGAGATGCATGATTTGTGCCAGATATCCGTATAGCGCTATGAAACATAGCGTATGCATGCTCGTCTGGTTGCGGCAGTTTGAGTGAAGATCCTCTTTGACACTTTTCGAAATTTTGGGCGTCTAGCAACATAGTTCTCGTGTACTCCACCCGAGAAAAGGTTTCGGCGTGAAATGCGCTGTTTATGGTTCACTGAAGACAATTTTCACGCCTATTTCACAAAAAATTTCATTATTTTCCCGATTTTATTTGTAAGAATCAGGGATTTTCACTAGTTTACCAAAAAAAAATCTTCTCAGACTGTTTTTATTGAATCATTTATTTCTTACCTTTTGGTGGTCGCAATCCTAATCCCATGTATCGTCGCTTCTTCTTCAGACAACAGATCGTACCCTTCACATCCATTTTCTTGATCATAAAGTTCAAGAGTTGCCTAGAAAGAAAGAATTTGAAACTGCAAATTGATTTTCCATTTTGATCTACTTACCTTACAACAATGGAAGACACATTGAAAAGGCAGTAGAAACAACAAGCGCCTAGTGTGAGCAATATGAAGTTGAGAAATCTGGAAAAAAAATTATTTCAAAAATTCAAAAAAAGAAATCAAATAATTGATTTTATGTGGAAACAGATTTACCTATAGAAATCCTTGTTCATATTTACTATATCTCTTTGATTCGATACATAGTCACCAAATCCAATGGTTGCAAAACTAAAATTACGAAATATAGTACAAAATATGCATATTGATCGATTACGAAATTACCTGATGAAACAGAAGTATAGCGCTTCAACAAATCCCCAACCTTCAGCATGTGAGTATACAAGAGCGGCTGAGCTAATCAATAACGCTGAGATACTGTAATGAAAGATGCTCGATGGTGATTGGTCAATTCGACTGGTATTGATTTTTTTACCTGAACAGGCAGAAGAACACTTTGTACACTGAAGGTCGCCAACCATCATTGGGACCATCGCAGGAGCTAAAAAAGTATTGATTTATTGATTTGTCGAAGGCAATCAATAATCGATCCATACCTTGCCGATTCACAATAATCTTCATTATTGATTAGTAACGTGACTGGTTTGCTAGTGCCACTATTTTTCATCATCCGCCGTTGAATCTTCTTCTCATGGAAATGCCTGTAAACCAATCGATACTTAATTTTCAACTTGGATAGATATCTTGCTCCTTCAACAACCTCAAAAAATACGACAATGCGGTCACGAATCGTTCCAGAAAGAGGTTGAAAAATAGTACACAACTTGTACAACCGACTACACCATAGACTATCGTCAAAACTCGTCCGTAGGTGGTTCGCGGGGTTGATGATCCGAAACCTGAAATGTATGTCTCAAATTTCCGATATTCGCGAAAATAGACACCATACCCGATGCCTGCTTAGCATAACCTAAAACTTAGACTTTTCATTTCAAACAGACCACAGAACTTTCATTTCTTTTGAAAATGAAACCCCAAAACTCAAGAGCACAAAAAAGTTTGTGACAACTTGTAAAAGAGCCTTTTATATAGAATAGACAGGTTTTATAAATCAAGCACGTTTAAACAACAGAAACGCTGCGCGACTGTTCTACACGGGACCCACAGTCGCGCTGACACGCTCTGCGGCAGCTTCGTCAGGTGAGGAAACGCTTCATGCGCGCCGACGTGTTCAAACAAGTCACGCCAGGCTGTTCGATACTGTAGTGCAAAAGAGCCGTCTCTAGCTCCCCCGCCAAACATGAATGTATCACATGGACAGCATAGCTACGGTACACGCTTTTTCATCCCAAGTCTGGTTCCTTAATGGTCTCCATATCAAAGAAACCATAAATCCCCATCAATTTGATTGATGGCTTCTTCAAAGGCTTTAGAAGAGGGATAGGGCTATTTTTGTAGATCAAATGACTGTTTATGGGTAACAGAATTTGCTGGGTGTGCAACTACACGGTAAACGGAATATCACAGCATTAAAGAATTTATTCAGAAAAAAAAATTTTTGGGTGAAAGACATCGCTAAAACAGAGACTTTTTTCTTGAGAGTGTTGAGTCGGTCCGAGTTATTTGCTTTTTTCGATCTATTAAACAGGCGGAATGAAGGTAGTTAAATGTTTCAGAGCCTAATCGACTCAACTTTTCTTCCTTCTTGCAACAGTTAGTTTTTGCACTAGTTTCTTTTGTGGATGTCGACATAATTGCCGTAGTCTTGAACCCATGGTAGAAATTCCTTTCACATTTGTGCAAGAGGTTTGTTAGCGGCCACGTAGAGCAAAAAATATATATATATTTCAACAATAAAAGGAAAAATTATATGTGTTATTTTTCCAATCCGTTTCATTTCTTCCATTGGACGGGGTATAACTTGATTTCTAAATCTTCCCCGGAACTCCAGTAAATCTTTCCAATTGACTCTTCAACTTCCGGAGTTAATTCAAGAAAAGCTTACTTTCACAGCAATAGCTCTTCATTCGCAAAATATTATTGAAATATTTGGAACAAATTAAGTCGCACACTTTTCTCCGTAGATTTCACACAGTTCTCTAGTTCCCTCTCCATTTCCCTTCCTCAGAGTTTTTGCGCATTTCTAATAGCTCTTTAATTAATGACGCACAAAGCCGGTCATACATTTCTGAAGAAGAGCCGGTATTCTAGCACTTTTTGACAATTTTTACGAAGCGATTAGTCTTGACTGAGTTTGAACTTTTGCGATGTTGAAGCCCCACTCGGAACCTAATGTGGCGACGCTTTTCGCTTGCTCTCTAGAAAAAGTTCAAACTTGCACTTCCCTAATTCTTATAGGTCAAACATCCCCAAGCCTTGAAAACTGATTCTTTGCTCGCTAAACATCATCAAGCACAATGTCATTCCCGCCAAATAGCAGCGATGTTCGCTGCCAGATATTCCCCTTTGCCCCCTCCCCCCAAAAAAGTCCTTTAATCACTTACCTATGGTTGAAATTACTGTAGCTGAGAAGAACAACGAGCCGAGATAGTCGAAACGTTCACGCGACGACGCGATGCCGTTCGCGGTCGCACCGCGAATGAACGAGACGAGTTCGTCGAAATCGCACGCAACGGACGAGTTCCTACAGTATCGCCGTCGATATTTTGACAGTGCGAGTTCGTACTGAAAAAAGGATTTGAATAATATTGAAATCCATGAAAACTTTTTATCGAAATGTGTGCAATAGTTTTTCGACAATGATCGAAAACAAAAACAAAATCCTCAAAAAATACAGGTATATCTTCCAAGTTGCTATGGATCAAGCTTTTTGAAACAGATTTAACTGCTTCCTTCTTCATGGCAAGTTTGAAATTTCAAAAATTATCTCTATTGTTCATAGGTGAAAACAATAGCACTATACTAAACGCAAGGGCCTCAGAATTTTCGCTTCCACTTTCGAAAGGTGAGGAAGATCCGCTCGGTCAGGCTGCTAAGGATCTATAAATACTGCCGAAATCGATGCCGAAACTGTTTTGTTGTGCAATTGCATCAAGTGGAAGAAACAAGCGAGCATCTACTTTGCTTTGCTGATTGTACGTAAAAAACTGCGATTTTAACATATAACAGGATTCTACTTTCAACTACTTTTCTAAAAAAATTTCAAATACAATAGTTTTCTATATAATGAGAAGTATCCAAAAGAGACAATGTAAACTTCTTACAATCTGACTCAACCTACTTCAATCTCTTAGTCAATTCCAAACAACTTATCTTTCTTGACGTCTAATAAATCATTATTAAAAACCTCTGGTAAATTCTAATAAGATATGACAAACATCTCTGTGTCTCACTTAGAACGCATAAACTACCTAATATCATTTGATCACATAATTCTCCGTTACTTCCGCTTCAGTCTATACTTCCCTTTCGTAGATCACAAAATTTATCGCCAGAGACATTTTGTCGCCTTGCTGAGTATGCGAGCAGGTGTAAATAGCCGACTGCATCGAATGTCGTGTGAAATAATATATTCCAGGAATATATTTCATTAGAGATTATATTCTCCGCCGGGGTGAGAGGTATTCCCGTTTAAGTAAAGTGATCTTCAAATTTGAAAAAGGGAGTTTTAAAAAGTCAAAAGAGGGCAGTTTCATAAAAGTATCTTTGGTAAAGATCACACAGTTCACACTGTCCAAAATAATGTTTTTTAAACGAGATGCAAAAACGGAAATTTCCAGAAAGATGTTTAAACGCAAAAAGCTAGCTCACGATTATGTTTCTGAATTTTGAGAGTATCGATGCAGATTTTCGGTATAAATAGCAGTCTAAAAGTTTTAAAAATGTTTTTATTGAAAAAACAAAAATCCCACAGTAGAGAAACTTTTAAAAACACAAATCGGGTTTGGTCAAGAGTTCTCATGCAATTTCTTTGATAAAATTAGCAGCTAAGATGTCCACAAGGGTCTTTTTTTTCTAAAGTTAAAATTACACAAATAAAGAAAGTTTTACACAAAAATAATCAGTGACATTATCAACATTTCCCCTATAAATGTGAAGCTCATTACTAAACTTAGTTTAGATGCATTTTTCTGTACAACGATCGAAAATCTCTCTCAAATAAATATCGTCCAAATTACACAATCAAAAGACTTCAGAACACGAAAGTTATTACGTAATATCTCCAACTCCTTTCGTCCGTCAGTGCAATCCCTTCCCAGAAATATTTACAAGTATTTTTTTTGGGCTAAATTATTCGCACTTCTCCCTCACATTGACTCTTGTCGATCCTGAGATAATTTCCCTTATTAACACCTCTACTAGTCTCGTGTTTGTAACCCATGGCAACTCCCCTTATTGCTGATCGAGAGTTTACATGGAAGTCCTATCATATCCACACATAACACTGGATAATCAACATCGTATTCAGAGCTTCGATAAATTAGCCATATTGCTCGGTCCCAAATAGACCCTGAAGAAGCCAAAGAAGCCTAACTGATGATCAGACATGATCTAAGCGGTACCGAGGTAGCAGCAATTTGCAAATGCATCTTTGAAATTGGTAAACACTAACTGAAAATATAGGAACTAGAATGTGTTTACGAAACTGAGGCATCAGTAAATACATCTATTTCTATCCTGCGATTGAAAAAGACATAAAAATGATTTTGCAAAAAATCATAAAAGAGCAGCACTTCAAAGTTTTATGGATCCCTTTCCAACAACGTTAGAATAATTATTGAGCCCACGAATATGGCATTACAAATATTGAAAATTATTTGAGTATTTCTACAAAAATTGCAAAAAATAGCGCATCGCTGACTCATTGTTCTTTGACTATTTGAATATTCTGCTGACTAACTGTTATAAAGCACTTTCGTTTAAATAGTTAATCAATCTAGAACAAAAATAAACACCACTCTTTTCCTTTCCAGCAAAATTGCGCGGAATTTTTTGCCAATTGATTATTCAAAATTTTCCCTCTACTTGCCCCTCTTTTGCCAAAACTGTATAAAACCCGTAATTTGTCTTTTCGTAAACACACCGTATTATTACCTAGCTAGCGAAAATCGGACTCTGCCATTTGCAGATGTTTTGTAAGTTGTCAAATATACGGTAACCGAATACGGTTTATAAACATCGACCACGATTTTAGTCAAATTTGAAACTTTTCAGTTTCCGCATAATTGAATATTTTTCGAGTATGGCCTGAGGCTACTTTAGTTTATAAGATCTATTACAGGAGAAAGCCGCTATTCATAGTTCACACTATAACAAATGGAGCCTTCATAATGCTGTTCAAAAAAATCAGATAAAAACAAAGACAGGATTTTGAGGCAAAGGCTCTACTCTATATATTCTGAATTTGTAAAAAATTGGTTAAGTCTAGTGGACGGCAGCCAACGACAGCCTTATTATACAATAAATAGTTATATGTCTTTGCGAAAAAATGGTTGGCTGTGTAAAGATTTGGGGATAACCTTCGCGCTATCCAGCTGATGTTCACTAGATTTTTACTTCATTGCTTGAATTTCTGCAAAATCATAGTCAAAAGCAGTAAATGGTCCGTAACTTATTTGACAGTGATAAAATGAGTCAAAAGGAGAATCGAAAAAAAAGGAGAAAAAACCAGTAGGGCGTCGCCACAGCAAATTTCCAGAAGTATTATTTGTTTTAAAAAAATTGCAAAAATCTCAGCTTAATAATTGTAATCAACTTTTGTATTATAGCCAGATAATTATCTGCCATGTATTACCCAGATTGCTCTACAATTCTATTCAATATCCACTGATGATGAAAATAGGGTTTTTAATCCCACCGGAGATGAAATTGTTCCTTTTTTCAAAAAATTACTACATTATAATTATTGCCACCTTCATGTTGCTTGTGTAATTGGCAAGTCTGTGCAGCCACCTTCAACGCTATAATTGTGACTAATATCAATATTAGCAACTTCGGCGACCACACTGATCTAGATTAGGTGTTTTGCAAGGTTTTACGAGAAGTACTCTTTCCCCGGGGGAAAGTTTAATGTCTACTTTTACATTCTCGACCTCCCATTTCCTGAGGTGCAAAGCCGAAAAAGTCCATTGACCAAAAACGTAAATGTAGCGCTTTTGTTTACAAAAGTGTGTAAATACACGCAAAAGTTTACCCTGATGCTGACACCAAACTCATAGTATAGCTGCATGAACATCCCTGGTCGAGTTCGATATTCAATTACATAGAGTACGCGACTCCTGGGATTATAACCCCCGTCTTGAAAGGATTAACATCGGCTTTCAAATGTGTGTGTCTCTTCCTACTCAAGCTCATAGAATATGATATCGATATCATGCTCAAGGAATATTTAGCAGATGCAAAACATCAGTGTTTGTTTACACGCAAATTGGTATATACTGGCCATGCATTTTGAAAAAAAAATATTTCAATAGCATAGAACATAGAAATTGCAAAACAAATGTTTGGGAAGAAATTTGGCAAGCAGTAGTTTAACATCAAAAAACCTTTCTTGTAGCCAACTTCAAATTAGGGCAGGTTCAAAAATATTCGAAACAATCTTGAGCAAAATAATTCTGACAAACATGAAAATATGTACCAATTCTACAGATTAATACAGATCATAATCTATTTCAAAACACTGCGATAACCTCCAATTTTCTGCGTAGGGGGGAGGGAGGAAGCGCAAAAGGTCAAATTTTAAAATCAATTTTGGTCCATATTCATTATGGAAGGTGGTTCTTGTTTTATTATCATTCAAATGATTTTCTATCGACAAGAACGATCAGCGACTATCATTTCAAAGATATTGTGGCTTTTTCGCCAACTCATAATTATTTATTGAAGAATTTTCTGGAAGATTTCCTCCGTTTTGACAAAAGGTCCGGTTACCAAAATGTTGTATTACCCTTCAGCAACATCTCATCTAAATCGATGTAAGGGCATTTCTGAGCTAACACTAACAATCACATGCCCTACCTCAATGAGGGCAATTCGGCTCATCGGCACGTCACACTAGTGACGCACTGTGCTAATAAATTCTCAAAACTTTCTCTGAGCAAAGATATCACTCAACTTCTACCTGTTCTATACGTAAAAGAAATTATTGCGTGGTTGACGTCAGAAATAATGGATATATTGGGTCACTGTAACAAAAAGTCTGCAATTTTTCTAGGTAAAAAAACTACTGAAGTAAAGGCTGTAGAAATTTTTACACCCTCTCTCAGTCGTGAAAAATCTGCTAACTTTTCAAGATGGTGATTTATCACTATCAAGACCGTTTTGCGATTAGTCTTGTCTGCTATAAAAGTAAAACTTAAGGGCCAGGATTCACACGATTTGAGTCGCCGCGCGATTTGGCAATTCGCCAGAAGTCTTCAGATCCAACACTAGAACTGCACATGCACAGTGTATAACTTACGTGGATTGATGAAAAATGCCCAACCTTCCTTACATTCAGAAACCCATTACAGTGAGTTATGGACAGTTGGAATATTGCCAAATCGCTCGTGACTGAAATCGCGTGAAGTAGCCGGCCCTTTGAGTAGATGCATGAAGAAAGTTTGCTCTGCTAAACGCATTAAACAAAAAATCAAACAGCTTAGATCTAAAAATCATGGTCGATCAAATGTGCTGTAATTTAATGGTAGATTGCCCCTAATATTTTGGACCGGCTTGTTTTCAAAACCATCTTTATGATTGGAGTCGTTTTTGCAGGACTATAATTCCACATATTTTTCAATCGCATAGTCTTTTGAGATTTTCAAATGCTTTTTTGAGACTTCCATTTTGGCTCATCAGCAATTTCGAAAAATTGAGCTTTATCGCACAATCTTTGAGACTTTTAATTGCAATACTCAGGTTGCCATGTTGTTTTCCAGCAACTCTTTGTAATTTAGCACAACACGACTTTGAAATAAATGCAAGAGTTGATATTTGTTTCGTTGCATCCTGTCTCCCCCGCGAATAGTATATCTTGACAATGTGACCAGCCTCAAATAACTTCTTACATCCCTCTTACTGTAATCTACCAGAGTGCATGATCTCGGCTTACTGCAGAAAACTTGAGTGATAAGCCAAGGGTCACATGCTCTTGGAGATTAAAAACTACGATGTATTGGGATTATCAAGGATCAGGAAAGAGACGAGGAGGCATGACTTGGGCGATCATGACATCATCCATGGTAGAATGCCCTTAGATGCGCAATTTTGGGAAATTAACGTTGACTGCTGTTAGGCAAACAAAACGCAAAAATAAAAACTAATCTTCTAGAAAATGCGAAACTGTATACTCTTGAAAAACGATTGTTGGGATCTTGTGGGTTTTTTTACAACAAATGCATACAAGAAAGCAAAGAGTTTTTCTGAGGTTCTTAGTCATATAGAGCTTCTTTTTGAATGTCTGATTCTTCCTCTGTAAAAGCGAATTTTTTCCCTATGAAAAGGCGATTTTAGCTAATAAGATGCACATAAACCAAAGCTATTTTCTCATTTTGATTTCTATGTGTGTTATTGCACACAATATACACATTGCACGTGGAGCAGATATCGAATAAAAACGCTCCTTTCAAATGAAGGTTTGCTTATGTCTTTTGCCTGCTTCTGTTCCTCACAGTTTACAACAAAATCGATCGCGATTTGACGCGCAATGTGTACATATAATGTGAGCAATTGCAGAGCATCAAACTACAAATTTAACTACAGTCGCCGGCTTAGTTCCAAGCTGATCAAGTATCAAACATCATCCAAATTTTGTAAACTAGTAATCCCTCCCCCCCCCCCCCCGCTTGTATCCGGATCGGACTACGACATCGATCCTCCCTCTAAACCATGCTTAGTCATTATTACGAAAGGGGTATTTTTAAAAAATCTCAATAAGTCATGCGCTAGAAATCTTGCTGCTTATTTAGCAGAGCTTATAGTACTTATGAGGTCACAAATTTTGTAATTTGTAGAATTGAAATTGGGTAAATGATGTTTAAAAGCGGATAATCAACTACAAGTGACCAGATCTATTTTTCCAAAAAAAATTTAACGAGTTGTGAATGCGGTCTCCTGATATAAACATACAAAAATTGTGAAATAGGGTAGAAGCTATTAATAACAGTAATAATATTTACACTTTTGTAATATGTTTAGGAAAAATGAGTAATTTTGCGGACGTATGCTCTCAGCGACGTCAGAAAATTGTGCATTTGCACAACAAAAGAGGCAGTGCAAAAACGGACGTTAACACATTCACGACTATGAGACTGCCGTTCCAAACAGCCTTTTTCGCTTTGTCAAACTCACGACCCATCGCTGGGTCGTATTGTCCAAAATGGTAGAACACGTACGACCCACCGGTGGGTCATATGTCGTGAATGTGTTAACTATAGTTGTAGATGAAAGCTACCAAAACGGACAGAAAATAGAAAATCCCTAAATATTACCTGTCGCCGCTCCTCAATTTCATTTTCCCGTTCGACGTGATTGAATAGTAAGGCACCGAGCATGAGGTAGAGTACTAACAGCAATGAGATGAGGATAAATCGAGCATTTTCCTCGTAAATTCGTAATCTGGCGAAGCAACCGACCTAAATGGACGATAATTTTAGTGGCTTACGAACATCCAATGTTTTATTCCAGAACATTTTGGAAAGAATAAATTTGGTTGATACATTTTTGAAGAAATCATATTCAAATAAATTCAAAAAATAAATTAATGAAACTGATGATACAAAAGGCGTTCATTTTGGAGATGTTCGACTGAAGTCAAGAAACTACAATTCTCCAAAGTCCAGTATAGCCCGTAAAGTCGCAAATTTTTTCCAGGTTCTTTCTGAGATTAGTCTACTGCGCTGCGACGTCGCGCGAATGATTTCTAGATCGAGTGGCAGATGCGCGATGTATGACCATTTTCTTGCTTGAACTCTGACCTCGGTTACGGTAATTAAGCGATGCAAAAGAGCCCTTAGTGGATTTGAAGCTTCCCTACTCCTTCTGAGTAATTGAAAAATCATTGGCGTAAGTTTGAAGTCATTTATAAGCGATTTTCCAAGGTATCAAATCTTCCTGTTGCTGTATGGCATTCTATACAGCTATCATTGAGTTGCCCAATATTAATTTTATGAAACTTGACAGAGGATTTGACTTACACTATAGCAAGCAAAGCATACTCCTCCCCACTGGGCCTTAAACAAGTTAGCCTTTTTTTCAGTTATATCATTCATAATTTGAGAATTATCTTATATGTTTCACCTGTATCCATATCTGACAGTCCCTAGTCGACAATCAATAATTGCGAAAGTGATACTGTTTTTCAATGAGAAAGCCTTCACTTGTCTCGAATGGATATTAGCGCTTTCAGGAGCTAAAGCCGAGATGATCGGCTTCCATATACGAAAACAAAAATTGCCTACGTGTTCAGAAGATTTGAAGACTTAGTTACATGTACTTGAGGACAAAATTGACGTAAAAGGCATTTCAGAAGTTCCTAAATAAGGAAGTTCTTTATTAGTGGTTGTTCTCAAATGTTTCGCACATTAGTCGTCCAGGAGTACTGTAATGTACTGTTATACCCTCTGATTCAACTGGCTTGGCGTCTGAAAGGCGGGGCGTGACCTAATTAACACGTTGACGACGAGCCATTTTTTAGAGGTCTGTCCCTGTGGACGAGACGTTTCCATGCATCCATACGCGTGGCCCATGTATGTATGCATGCATCCATGCACGAAGTACAAAATGTGCAAGCCCCGCCCCCTCTGACAAGCTCCGCCCACTCGACCAAAAATGTCGGAAATTGCCCAAATTTCAAGTATTTATGCGATTTCCGCCACTTTTGAAAAGTGAGCGGAGCTTGCCTCTTAGGGGGCGAGTTTGCCTGACGGTAGGCGGGGCCTGGATAAAAGTTGCTTGAGGTCTTTGCGTTCACCTACAGCCTCATCCATGCTTTTTATGGACAAAAAAGGGTCCTTGTAAGAGGCATAGGAGTGGGCGGAGTTTGCCAAAAGGGGCGGGGCTAATACATGAAGTACATCTGAGCCTATGTTGATTATATGAACAAAAACTGAGAGGATTGGACAGATAGTATTGAATTTAAGGCCGCCGCGCACCATTGCGCGGCGTCGTCCACAGGGACAGACTGCCTGCCGCGCACCATTGCGCGGCACTGTCATCAACGTGTTAAGGCTAGATAATGATCAGAGAGCAGGCGCGCGAGAGAGACGCAGACAGCGTCGCGAGCGCGAGCGGCCTCAGTTAGTCCACCAAGCCCGCCTTGCAGCCGCCAAGCCTGTTTAATCAAAGGTTAATCAAAAAAACTCAAGCGACTGAGAATTGCACAGCGACAGGTTCGGTCGGGGGGGGGGGGGGAGGGACATGTTTGATTTTTGATACAAGTTTTCAAGCAGCAGCATTAATTTTTATGAAAATCAATAGTCAGACTTTGCAATAAAATTATTTTTCACTTTTGACTAATTATGATTATGCGGATATAGACATCCCAGTTGCACTATATTATGAAAAAATACTAGATTTTCCTTTCTGTTTCACCTCCCCCCTTCTCTTTTTCCTCCCCTGAAGTTTTATATATAATTTACAGAATAATTAATTCCCATATTTGTAGTTTGTAGTTTTGATAGTGTAATTGCGTACTGTCCCCATATACAAAGTTAAAGCGCACTATTCGCACTGTATGATTAATCACTCTAATTTTCTATTCATGCAAGACTTGATATTGACATAAAGTAGAAGAATAAAATGTCACAGTTGTAAGTTCATTTGAAGTGCAATATGTTCCGCTTTCCATCGGGGCCCGAATAATTCGAAACAAAAAAAATACAATGTTGAACCCCTGAACTGAGCTTGGAATATACGAAATTATTTTCTGGCAGGAACGATGACTGAAATATCTTGAATTTCTTGTGCGCAAATCCGGAATTCTCGGGAAAGCAGATTATTTTGAAAAATTTTGATTATTTACGGATAAAAAAAGGAAAACTTTTCTTCTCACCATCAGCTCCAGATAAGCAAAACAAATTTTTCGAGAAAAGAAGAGGGAGGGGGGGGGGGAGTGCGACATTTCGAGCTACTGCTATTGCATAAATATAAGTTCATACTTTTTTAGATAACCTATTTCTCCCCCCCCCCCTGGCCCTCGCACCCGAATATTCTCGACCTGTCAGCAAGTAATTTCTTCCCGCCATTGTTTCAATGTTTCAATGTTGAGGTTAGAAGCTGCGCGGCCAGTCGTTTAACGCTGTCATTAGTGGCTAATTTGTGCGCTTGCCACTGCCAAACAATTAAGAGACGACGCTCGAAACAGAGGCTTTGCGCGATCAAAGTGAAAGAGCAGTACACGAAATGTGTGAACTAGTACAAAAGAGCATTGCCGACGAGGTATCTGTCTGTTTCACGATCAAAATAAACGCACGATTGAAGAAGGGATGTCATATTATTTTTAAATTTAGAAGCACCCCCCCCCCCTCCAATGATCTAAATAATTTGCAAAATCAAAACCAATTTGAAAACCTTAGATTTCACGTAGCACAGTCTGTCCCAATCGTAGTGTCCTCGTTTAACGCATCCGCCCCTTATACTTTGCGCGACTTTCGCGGGCGTTCAGCTCATCCACTCAGATTCCTTTATCGATTGGATATCTCCACGCAAAGCGCTCGCGCTGCGGATGCGTAGGGGCACGCAAAATGAGCATCATAGTTGGATCGTGATCTATGGATTTGTGTATTTTACTCTGCACCCCACATTTTCAGTCTAGCTAGAATTCTTTCTACATCTTTTACAGAATTTTTTTCGCTTGGGTAGGAAAAAACTCTCCAAATATCATGAATGCAGTCCTTTCCAATCGTAAGATTCAAGTTTGATTGCACGCTTTGCAACTGCCGGCGTCACTCGTATCGACCTCATTTGGCACGCAAGGCGTTCGCATTGCGGATGCGTAACGGCACACACGCAAATAGACAGGGCAATTGAGAAAGACTGTATGTTACTGTGGGTGAATCTCACTCTACTATACAAATGAACCTCGATTTTTTTTTCAGCTTTCTTGCAATTCTTGGGTTGAGCTATCTCAAAAGAATTGATACTGTATTATATGGTATTTATATGATGATGTACTATTTTTCTAAATTTTAGGATTTTTTCACCATTAGCGCTTGCTTCATAGCAGTTTCACTTCTCACCGACTGGAAATTATCGTTGAGATAATTATCATCACCACTCAAAAAGGACAAAAAAATTTGCTTGAAAGAAATATTTTGTCAAATCGACTTTTCTTTTTCGCTCATTTACCCTTGTCTCATCATTTTGCCTTTCTATCAGAAATGACATCTTATATCCGGAAAAAAATTCCAATTAATTATTGACCCTAAATATTCTAATGCGATCATACGCCAACGCAAAATCCCTAAAATTTCAGAAATCCTCTCAGACAAGCTTGTTGAAAAGAAGAACATTTCTGCAAGGGTACTTCCTCCAAGTAGGAAGTTTTTTCACTGCCTAAGCGATTATTCGTTGGAATTTAGTTATAATAATCAAATCGTTGCAGGTTCGTATAATTGATTTGGAAGTGGAGAGATTGCAAAACAGGAAAAGTAGCAATCACGTGAATGATGTAATGTTGAATTATTTGATTGCAGTCATATAGGAAGTGAAAAAATTGCATAGCATAGCTAGAAAAAATTTGTCACAAAAAACAAATTACTTTTTTTACAAAGATTAATTCATTTTTTAACGATATTTTTCTAGCAACTGCTATTAAACGAATTTTCACCCAAAATTTTTGTTTCATGAATTAATAAAAAAAATAGAATTTTGAAATTAAAAAAAACGGATTGAAAACGAATTTGCGCAAAAAGAGAGCAAAAATCTCAAACGGCATTCGAGGAGCTGGCTAAATAATGAATTTATAATCTGCTACGAATTTATTTTAAAAAGAGAATATGAATCAATTTCAAACCTGTAAAAATGTTCCCGTTCCATGAATTAGCACGGAAAACGAATTTCTAGGATGAAACCAGGAAAAACAATTCTGTAGAAATTTGTTTCACGATGGCATAAAAAATCTCAAGAGATAGCAAAAAATGATATTACAAAGAAATTTCCTGTTTCACGATTGCTTAAAAGCACGAGTTTTGCCCACACAGTGTTAAAAGGGAGCTTGTTGTTAGAGAGATGAATTTGAGACGTGAGCTAAGGCATACGATCAGCACCAAAATTTTCAAAAAAGTAATAATTTTTGTTTTCAATGAATTCGTCTAATTTGAAGTAATTTAGGGAAGGGAAAGCATTTTCTGATAGTGTTTGAAGAGAAAATTTCTGCTGACATTTGAAGCAAAGGAGCGGTTAAATAGAAACACGATTAATAACTTACTGATTATTCGCTAAAAATGGCAAAAGTTATATTCAAATTTTAGTTTGATTGTATTTTCAAAGATAAAAATTCCTTATTGAAATTTCCACTAATATTTGTATGAATTTTCAAAATTGACGTTTTGACCTGTATCGAAAAAATTTTCTCGAATGCGTAGTAAAGTATAGCATTTGATATATGTTACAGAAATATTCATAAGATAATTAT